GAAGAAGAAGAAGAAGAAGAAGAAGAAGAAGAAGAAGAAGAAGAAGAAGAGGAGGAGGAGGACAATAAAAATAAAACAGTCCTGGATATGTTTCTTGTTTGGATTGCCTCATAGAGATGACACCCCTGGACTGCCTCGTTTCGATATTTTTCTTCCGCTCTTGCTTTAATAATATCTTATTTTCTGATTCTATTTCTCAGGGGAAACCAAATCGAACAAATTGACTGAACTGCAAAGTGTCACTAGGTGGCAGTGCTTAGCCAAATTTGACTAATTATAATTTAGATATTTATTTTTTTATTTTATTTATTTTTATTTGTCAATTGCTTACAAGATAATAGGTATAAATAAAAAGATAGTTATGAATACATGGATACATATAAGAAAAATAAAAGAAACAATAGGACAGGGATGGTAGGCATGTTGGTGGGCTTATGCACGCCCCCTACAGACCTCTTAGGAAAGGGTGAGGTCAATAATAGACAGTTTAAGGTTAAAGTTTTTGGGGTTTGGGGAAAAAAACCACAGAGTCAAGTAGAGTATTCCAGATATTGACCACTCTGTTGCTGAAGTCGTATTTCCTGCAATCAAGTTTGGTGCGGTTAACCTTGAGTTTGTATCTATTGTTTGCTCTTGTATTGTTATGCTTGAAGCTGAAGTATTCATTGACAGGTAGGACATTGCAATGTATGATTTTATATACTATATTTAGATCGGACCAAAGGCAGCGTAGTTCTAGATTTTCTAGATCTAGAATTTCAAGTCTGGTGGCATAAGGTATTCTGCAATGAGTAGAAGAGTGGAGAACTCTTCTTGTGAAATATTTCTGGACTTTCTCAACTGTGTTAATATCAGATACATAATGTGGGTTCCAGACTGATGAGCTGTATTCGACTATTGGTCCAGCAAATGTTTTGTATGCTCTAATTATCAGTGTAATATTACCAGATAAAAAGCTACCTAAGATTAGGTTAACAACTCTTAATGCCTTTTTGGCTATGGAGTTACAGTGGGCTCTAGCACTTAGATCATTCGAGATGAGTATTCCAAGGTCCTTTACAGAGTTTGGATCATCAACAAGGTCTTGACTATTCAGCTTGTATTTTATTTTCTGTTGTTGGGTTTTTTTGCCAATATGTAAGACAGAGCATTTATTTGTTGAGATATGAAGTTGCCATTTGTTTGACCATTCTGATACATAGTCAAGATCTTTTTGAAGAGTAGCATCATTGGCTGTGGTATTGAACAGCTTTACATTATCAGCGAAGAGAATGCAGTTGCTCTTAATATGATCACAGAGGTCATTTATGTAGACAATGAAGAGAGTTGGTCCTAAAACACTGCCTTGGGGGACACCACTGTTGACAGGCACAGAATTTGATAGGACGCTCCCAGTTTTGATCATTATAATATTATAATTTGGGGATGATATTATAATCATCCCAAAACAAGCCGGGGAAGGAGTGAATAAATACCAGGACAGAAGATCAGGGTGGTTATGCTTAGCCTGGAAAGTCCACACCACATCTTGAAAGGATGCAAATCAGTACTGTATTATTGATCTTGATTCAGAAGAGACTAGGGTTTTATCTGGGAGAAGAATGAATGGAGTAGCTGCTGAATTCTCAGCAAATACCTTTTTGTTTATTTTATTTAGCATATAGCTCCTACAGAGGTCATGCAGTCACAAGATATAACTTTAAATAAAACATCAGCAAATCTCTAATCTATCTATTTATCTATCTGCGGATTATGTGTGTGTGTGTGTGTGTGTGTGTGATAGAATGATAGAAAGAGAGTGGGATCTATGTATCTTTGCTGATAGATAGATAGATAGATAAAGATAGATAGATAGATAGATAGATAGATAGATAGATAGATAGATAGACAGACAGACATATAGATGATAGATAGATAGATAGATAGATAGATAGATAGATAGATAGATAGATAGATAGAGATAGATAGATAGATAGATAGTCAGATAGATAGATAGATAGATAGATAGATAGATAGATAGATAGATAGA